GGAATCCACCCTGCACCGTTCCTCTGGCAGAGAGGAGAGGATCTCCACTCACGAGCGGCCAGGCTGGGGGTCCCAGAAAGCCTGACCTCCTTCCCCAGGGGCACCGGAAGGAGCCAGGGCTAGAAGAAAAGGAACTGATGTGGTGAAGGTGAAAAGAGCCACCAGACGGCCTGACTGAGGGGTCCAGGGAGCCCCGCAGCTCAGATGTTGGAGTTTAGCTCGAAACCCTTAAACATCCGCCCCACCCCCAGCCCCGGCCAAAACAGTCATCTTGCCCTCTAGCTGGGGGTAAGCCTGGTAACTGAAGACTCGGGTCCCAAGGCTCATTTGAGACGAGGAAAAAGCCTTCTGTTTCTCAGTAGGCTAGGTTGATGGATAGTTTGGCAGTTTCCATGAAGGACAGGCAGCTGTTCTGGGTGTTAGAATTGGTGCACAGTGTGGCCTAGCTGGGCATGCCTCTCATACATGCACTGCCCGTGTTTGATCATGTTTAATTTAGTGATATGTGTGTGTGTGTGTGTGTGCGCTCGCTTGTGTAGAGTACTGAGTCCCAGGGTCAGGCCCAGCCCTGTCGCAGGCCAACTTTATCACTGGGATGAAGTCTGTGGTACTCCCTGGGGTCAGTCCCCTCATCCAGGTGGACCAGGTGATCCCACAGGATGGTATCAGAGTGTAAGTTTCATGAGAGTGGGGTCTCTGTTCCTAGCACTTAGGGGTGTCCACTACATCTGTTCAGTGTGCACATCTATACTGTACCATGGTATCCTCAGAACCTCACACAGGCATTTCGTAAAGATGCAGAAAGATGCCTGTATTCAACAAACATCCATGGGGCGACTGCCAGGTGCCAGGTCTGTATGTCTATATATGTCTAAGGACTGAGGAAGCTGCAAAGAGCTCAGATGCTGTCCCTTCTCTCAAGGAGCTTACTGTTTACTAGGACACGTAGGATTTGTGTCCAAGTCACTTAAAAAAACACTAACAGTGATAAGTGTCTTAAGGGAGGTCCCAGCAAGGGAGTTTGGGGGTGGGCTGGGCTCCTTTCCTGGCTTTCCTTCTTTGCTGCTGTTCTTCGAGATGCGTCCTCGGTTTCAGCCACAGACAGGCTCCTGGTTCTTGCTGGCACCTGTTCCCTGAACAATCTCTCCCAGCCTTGAAGATGTGACACGTGGAAGTCGGCAAATCTGACGGCACCAGATTTGCTTCTCTGGGCTTCACAGCCGTATTTCCATCAGTGTCCTCAACGTCTCCAGGTAGAGACCTGCAGGCATCTTCTTCATGGTTCAGATGAGATACCTTCCCTCCACCTGAACCCAAGCTAAAAAATGGGTTATTCTGGGATGTTGCCCCAGCCCACACTTTTCAGTCAGCCGACAAGCATGGAGTTCCTGCTTTCAGGGAGGAAGCACACTAGTTGGAAGGCAACCCTGGGTACTTTTTGCCCTTCCAGCAGAAACAAGATGTGCACACCTGAGAGGAGAACCGAATCATCCAGGCAGATGCCACAAAAGAACAAATGCATGGCATATACGGGAGATTGGATGAGAATCCTGGGAGAGAAAGGGAGCATTTCAAGTTGGGCAGTTCAGAAAGGCTTCAGAGAGGAGCTGAAGGCTGGGGGAAGACTTGGATGGGGACAGTGAAGAAGGCAGGAAGGAGTGCTGGGAAAAGCTGGATAGCAGGACTGGGGGGAAGAGTGGTGGTGGGGGAGAGAGATGGCCTGCAGTTGAGGGAGCCCTAAGCCAGAGAGCACCTGAGTGCTCCATGAAGGACATGCGGTTGTGTCTGGTTGACATTGGAGAGCCCTGGGAGGGTTTGTCAGGAGAAGGCCTGTTTGCCACTTGCCCCTGGAGATATTCTCTCGGCCTTGGCCCATGTTGGGAAACCTCTACTTTTAGAGAGTGGGAGGAAGAAAATGAGCTTGTAAAGCAGCCAAGAGGAACAGTCAAGGGCACAGGCAGAAAACCATAATGGTAATGTCATGGAAATTGAGAGGAGAGAGTTCCAAGGGGGAGGAAATGAACCCCAGCGTTGACTGCTGATCAGTAGAGTTAGCTCAGGATTTGTGGATCAGAGAAGGCCAGGTTGCAAGGGCCAGAGGGGCAGGGTAGATCAGAAGCAAAGGCGCGGGAGGAGCTATGTCCTTAGAGTGGGAGGCAGGGCCCAGCTCAAAGGGTTTTCAAGGCAAGGATGACCCGTGCTCATTGGAAGGTGGAGGGACAGAAGAGCAGGCGTAGGGGGACTTGGAGACAGAGCAGTGGAATTGGGGGGAGACTTGCTTTGAGAAGAAAGAATCTCTTTATCGGGAGGCAAGGGAAGGAGAAAAGATGGTTACAGGCAAACTGCATTACTAGCAGCTGCATTTAACCTTTTTATAACACATTTATTATTTTTTTAAAAAACCAAAACATTCTGAAAAGGAGAAACATTCACTCACTTGAACTCCTACCCTTTAGAGATAATAAATGACAAAATGTAGACGAACATCCTTCAGAATTCATTCTGTGTATGTTTGCACAGACTTTTTTCATGTAGATAAGATTATACTATCCATGTTATTTTTGTTTTTATTTTATTTTGTTTTGAGACAGTCTAACTCTGTGCCCAGGCTGGAGTGCAATGGTACCATCGTAGCTTACTGCAGCCTTGACCTCCTGGGCTCAAGGATCCTCCCACCTCAGCCTCCCAAGTACCTGGGACTACAAGCAGGTGCCACCATGCCTAGCTAATTTTTGTATTTTTTGTAGAGATGAAGTCTAGCTATGTTGCCCAGGCTGGTCTCAAGTTCCTGACCTCAGGCCATCCTCCCTCCTCAGCCTCCCGATTACTTGGGGTTTTTATTGGTGGTGATGGTTTTTAGTTGTTGCTTGTGTTTTTGTTTGTTTGTTTCTTTGCTTGAGACAGGGTCTTGCTCTGTTGCCCAAGCTGGAGGGTAGTGGCACTATCATTGGCTCACTGCAGCCTCGACCTCTTGGGCTCAAGCAATTGTCCTACCTCAACCTCCCAAGTAACTGGGACTACAGGTGTATGCCACCATGCCCAGCTAATTTTTGTATTTTTTGGAGAGATGAGATTTCACCTTGTTGCCCAGGCTGATCTCAAACTCTTGGGTTCAAGTGATCCTCCTGCCTTAGCCTCCCAAAATGTTGGGATTACAGGCATGAGCCACTGCACCCACCTTGCAGTATTTTTAAAAAATGGTTTCATAACATCCCATAGTAAGACTCTGTGATAATTTATGTAACCAATCTCCTAGAGATGGACACTTTAGCTATTTGCCTTTTCCCCCAGGTGTATCATAGCATGCAGTGATCACCTTTACACGTACACCTTGGCCTAGTCGTATAATTATTCTCTTAACATGAAGTTCCTAGAAGAAAGATTACTGAGTCAAAGGGCACTCGCCCTTGCAGTATTGACAGAGGGTGTCAGACTACTCAGAATACACAAGAAGGCCTCTTTCCCCATCCCTCTCCCAGGCTGAGTTTGAAGTGTAGGCATCTGTACAGAGTTAGTGGATCATAAAGAAAGGAGTTGGAATCTCATGGTCTTGATCCTTTCAGAAAAGGAGGGGATGAGCTCATCTTTAGAGAATGAGGTGGGCTGACCCCCGAGGAACCCAGGAATAGGAAGTGAGGCTCCAGACGGCAGGACTTGGTTGAAGCCAAATGTGTGCCACCCTCTGACACTCTCCTGCAGCTCTGGGCTTCCCTAGTTCAGTGCTAAGAAAGCAGGCTGAGGATGGAAGTGACAGTGCCCAGGAGAGAGAACTATAGGCTCCAGGGGGCAGAAGCCAACCGTGGGGACTGGGCTGGTCTTGGAGCTCAGGGCGAATGAGAGCCTGGAGGAAGGAGAGTGAAGAAGGGCTTAGTGCACTGGGGATAAAGAAGGGAAGGGGCTGGAGATCAAGCAGATGGAACAGCGATAAGCCTTAAGCTCCAGAGGGCAGGCAAGATGTGTAGAGATGAGACAGTAAGTCCCATGTCCAGGAGCCCTGAGTTTCAACAGAAAAGCTGCCTCCATTCAAGCTGATGGCAGGAGACAGAATGAAGAAATGATCCAATCCAGGTGATGTCATTATCCAGAACAGTGTTCCCTAAAGTCAGAGTCCCTCTGCCTCTGAACATAGGTCCCAGAATGAAAAGATATATTTATTTTTCAAGATCTGCAGGAAGTTCCATGGCCAAATAAGTCTGAGAAACATGGAATTAAACACAGATTTAAATGGGCTTATTATTATTTTTCCAGCACTTTTCAAAATGTTTGCTATGTGAATGTGAATCTCTAAGATGGCGATAGAGTATGCCATGTTTTCCACACTTACTTGATCAAATAATCCTTTTTCACAAAGAATAATTTGGGACTAGTGTCCCATAGGATATGTTTTGAAAAACTGATTTCTTGTAAGTTGGAAATTGGTCCTGGGAGTGATAGGGGTTGGGAGATGACCATAAATGAGAGCATTCATTGGAATAGTATAGAAAAATAATCCTAATAAAAGTGACTACTACTATTTATTAAGCATTTACTATGTGCCAGGTACTTTTCATATATATCTCATTGGATTTTCACAGCAGCTCATTGAAGCAGACCATCTCCCCACCATTTACACTTAAGGAACATGAAGCTCAGAGGAGGGAAGTGGGGTGCCCCTGCGAGACAGACTAGGGTTTGCAGGATCAGAGGTGACAAGAGGGATCAAGACAACTGGTGATTCCCAGCCAGGCACGTTGGCTCACGCCTATAATCCCAGCACTTTGGGAGACCCAGGGAGGAGGATCACTTGAGGCCAGGAATTTGAGACCAGCCTGGGCAACATAGTGAGACCTTGTCTCTACAAAAAATAAGCAAGATTAGCTGGGTGTGATGGTGCACATGTGTAGCCTCAGCTACTTGGGAGGCTGAGGTGGGAGGATCATTCGAACCCGGGAGGTCCAGGCAGCACTGAGCCGTGATCACACCACCGCACTCCAGCCTGGCCAACAGAGCAGGACCTTGTCTATAAAAAAAAAAAGAAAAAAGAAAAAAAAAGAAAAGAAAGCCGGTGATTCCCACCCCTCCCATCCCTCTGAATTCATGGGGTTCAGGGGAGTCGGGGGGAGTGCTGTGTACACAGAGGAGACCAATGTGTAAGTAATGGGGGGAGAGTGCCTGTTGTGTTGGGTGAGTAGCCTGGGTTCTTGTCTCAACTAGAGGCAGCACCAGGCTGCGAGCAGGTATTTAGAAATGGGTGGGCATTCGGGGTTGTCACAATGACCAGGGATTGCTACTGGCCTTTAGTGGGCAAGGCCAGGATGCTGAATGTCTGTGCAGAGTGGGCCATGCCCATCTAATGAAGAATTGCACCACCTGGAATAGGGTCCCAGTTAGAGGAGTGGAGGGCAAAAAAGGGGAGGAAAGTTGTTTAGGTTAAAGAGGGTTTAGGATAAAGCAGGGATTTACCCACAACCTCTGTGGTTACCAAGAACAGACTGGGAGGCAGCCGAAGGGATTCAGGTGGAGGTAGCAGGAAGCGAGAGAGAAGCCTGTCTCAGAGCAGCAGATGTGGTTTTAGGGATGCAGAAGCTTGAGGATGGGGACCAACAAAGGGGCAAGTGCTGGAGGAGAGAAACTGGCGGAACCATGGAAGCAGAAAAGGACAACTTGTTGAGCAGGAAGATCTGAAGGGAAAGGACCCGCGTCTTGAGACCTGAGTGGGCAGGCGGATTCCCAACCGATTACAGACAAACCCACAAAGGAAGCCTGTGGAGAGGGGGTAGTGGCGGAAGGGCTCTAATGAAAACAATTTTGCAGTCTTACTTATAGCATTCTCCAACCTTAAACTATAGCTATTCTGCACTTTAAATACAGCATTGGCTCCAGAGAAGACTCTTAAATCTTTATTTTTACTGATCCAATTGGCTGTTTTGAAAACCCACTCTGTGAACCCTGCAGAAGATAATTATCAAAATATGTTCCTTGAAGTGCCCAAAGAAAGACCTTTTATTCAATTCCTCGAATCTCTCCCCCTTGTTGACTCAGATGGAAGAATGCAGTCCCAGAAAGGCGAAAGAGGGAACCAAGGACACATCTGTGGGCACCAAAAGAAAGCCGGCATCGGTGACCACAGTTGAGTTAGCAGTTGGTTAACAGGTCCGGGCTGTTTTCTACCCGCAAAGGGAGAGCTAAACCAAGCTCAACCCCAGTGGAATCAGTGGCCGTGCTTAGCAATGTGCCAAGACATGCACCCTCCATCAAACTTGCTACGTGGCTCTGTGGGAGCAGAGGCTTAAAAAAAATAAAATAAAATAAGGAATTTCTCCTCTTATGGCTGTCCTTCTTTCTGGAGTTTGAGATGGATATTGTGACCTAAGAGGTGACAGGAAGAGAGGCCCTTTCAAATCTCTAGTGGTTGCCACTATTTTATGGGTCTGGGCTTGCAGCCTTGGCCTTGGCCTTCCCAGGCTATTTAACTTTTTTTCTAAGCACCCTGCCTGTGATTCGGATAGTAATCGCTGCAATAAGATTGGGACCTGGCTGTGCCTTTCACTAGGAAATCCATGGGGCTGGCTTCTTTGTGACAGGGACCAGGGCCCTCCCTCACAGCAGCTGTGGTCCCTTGGGGCCTTGGGAACAGGGCAGGCAGAAACTGGCTCACCGAGTCTCAGATGTTCATTCTTTCATGATTCCCATGCTGTCCCAAGTTTGTCCCCAGAGAGGAGTTTCCCCGTAGGTTTTTAGGTCCCAGCATCACCTTACCTTCTCCAGTGTCCTCTTCCAAGCCCACCCGCTCCTGCTAAAATAACCTTGCTCCTGGAAGATGAAGAAAGGAAGAGGAGAGAGAGAAAGAGAGAGAGAGAGAAAGAGAGAAGAGACAAAAGGCAACCAATGCTATTTCTGCCTTCCTACAAATGGAGCCTCTCTCCAGACACCTAGAGCCTATCATAACATGAAGATTTCATTACCCCTTCCAGACACCCAGCATGCTTCACACTCAGGCACTCCTCCATTTGCAGCATGGCAAGAGTCCTCCATTTCTTTATACATGACACAGACAAGAACCAGTGCCTTACTTTAGAGAGTTATAGACATGTTACATACAGGTGGTATTGTAAGGTGATTAACTGGGACCACAATGGAAAAACATGAGCCCCACAAACAAGAGCCCTTGGAGCTTTAGGAGGAGAGTATGATGTCCTTTGTTCTGTTCTGAGAAGGGGAGGAGAAGCAGAGCCAACATTTTGCTCCTACCCATTCCTCCACCAGCTCATTCTTTTGCAGTTCAAACATCAGCCCTTGGTCTATGAATTTCACCTTCATTGCTTTCAGCCTTGCACCCCAAATGCATCCGTTGTCTCCAGCACTCCCTAGTCATGGAGAATCCTAAGAATAAACCAGATTTCAACCCTCTTTTAAGTCATCAATCTTCATTTTTTAAAGACACATGAGCTCCTGATTAAAACAGCAGAGGATAACAGTTAACTGAAAACATAGGCCTTTGCAGAGGGTCAGAAAACCCATCTTTATGAAACATCCACTATGTGATCAACCCGGTGCTGAAAGCAGCTGAGGGGAGCTTTCCTGATTGCAGGGATGTAGCAATTGCTAGGAGTGTGACCTGTCAACTGATATCAGGCTTGTATGGAAAGGCCTTGTGCCAGTTCTGAGATGGGCATGCGCAACTCTGCAGACACTCGAATGCGTGTTTGGATCCTGCCTCAGATTCTTGGATATTTAGGAGCCACTAACCAGCTTCCAGGTCACTTAACGTATCTGAGCCTTTGTAACATGATGGAGGTGAATTTGCAAATTCCCTTCCCACCCTCTCAGGCTGTGGTTCTCTATCCCTGAAACACCTTTGGGGAGCTGGTGCACCTAACACTAAGTCGGTTTGCCCTTGATGGCAGGAGAATAGGCATAGAAGACGGAGAGGGGAAGGAAATTATTTTGCCATCTCTATTAACTCCGCTTGGCCTAGTTCAAGGAGGGACTACGGATGCCTGCCTAATCAGTCATCCTCTAATCAATCACTACTCTGGGGCCTCAGCCAGGGCTTTTTCATTCTTGATGTCTGTTTCTTCATCCATACATACTCTGATCAGAACAGTCTTGGTATAACGTGAACATAATGAGCTTGTGCTTGCAAAGGGCTCGGCTTATAAGAGCCTCACAAATGCTTTGGATTATGTTCTTATTAAGTGAACGAGGCTACAGTGGTGAGTTACTACAACATTCCAGACATAGATGAGTCAGGGGTCCCCGTGGTCCGGGGCTTAGTGCTGGAAGACAGGAAATCCAAGGGATTAGAGAGAGAAGAACTCTTTGTGGATTGGGGAGGGCTGTGAGTTATGGAGCTGAGATGTCAATGGAGGGAAGATGGCCAAACATCCGTGGTCTCCCTCGTCTAGAGAGATCCAAGATCCTGGCTGGAAGCTGCCACTTCCCTTCCCATGGGTCACTTGGTGCAGTACTGGAACGTCTTGTTAGCAATTTCCACGGGCTAACAGTTGCTAATTTGGGGGGCTATCCACTGGGAAAGCTGGTTATAACAAAGCTCTGTGTTTTTTGAGAGGGTGTTTGCTGAAGCCTGGTGTCAGCCTTGCTTGATTTAAGTCATCCCAGATTCCCTGCAAAGGCTATAAACAGTGAAGTGATGAAATTGGCCCTAGAGCCAGAACAGGGAGGAGGCCCAGTCACGGGGGAGGGCAGAGGAGCTCATCAAGGATGGGGAGAGATGAGGAACTGGGCCGAGGAGGCAGCTCTGCTCTAAGGGATGGAAGGAATACTACCCCACGGTAGCTCCGGGGCGGTGGTGAATACATCCCACAGCCCACAGCGTGGTTCTGACTGGGCTCTCCGAAGGTGAGAGGCCATGGCTAGTAGGGGGAGGTTTTGGTCAGACAAACAGAAAGTACCAAGGAATTCCCCTGCCTTGCCCCAGGCATTCATTTATGGGAAAGAGATCGTAATCCTGGTGACCGCCCAGGCCAGGCTTCCTTGTAAACTGTTGGCAGATTGATGACGGGACAGCTGCCCAAGGAGAGCTGAAAGTGATGCTTCTTAGGATATGCATGAAAAGGAACTTCTCATGCTTCCTTCCTTCTCCTGCTTTACCCTCCAAAGCGCTTGCCTGCACCCCCGCCGCCCCCACACACGCACGAGTGCCCCAGTAAGCAAATCTACCTGGAATCTCCTATTGTGGAGAGGAAAACCAGGCTTCAGGAAGCTTTGCCACTGCCCAACTCTGTGACTTGAGCCAGGCATTAAAAACCTCACACCACACATACACAGGTACACACACATGCACACTCATGGGCAAAAATGCACGTGCACACATGTGCAAGCACAGCATGCACGTATACTCACACATGCATCACACACACCCTCACACACGTGCCCACATACACAAAATTTACTTTCCTCACCTGTCAAATCAGGAGAAAATGTGCTCACTCTGTCTCTCGGGCTACTTGTAGGGATCAAATGGGGTAATAGATGTGAGAGCACTTTCAAAGTCCTAAACCCCAGGTCTCCTTTGTCTCTCCAAATTAATTCAATCTCTGGGGGTGGAGCTCTGACTGACATTGGTCCCTTGAAAGCTCCCCAAAGAGCTCCAAGGCAGGCGTAGAATGGCTGGAAAGCATAATACCAAATCCTTCGTTGGTTTATTTGAAATTGTGTTTGTTGAGCCTTTCTCTGTGCCAACCACTGTGCTTGGGGTGTTGGATAAAGCAGAGAACAAAACAGATGGTCTCTGCCCTTGGAGCTGAAGTGCTGGGGAAGAGAGCCACCGCATGGACAAGAGAGGTGCATTCTTCCACAGGAGAGCACAGAGCATGTGAGGTGTGGGCAACAGGGCCTTACACTAGTCTGGGAGCTCAAGAAAGTCTGCTGGGGAAGTGATGTTTAAGCCATGCATGAAGGCCAAGCAGAGGACGTTCATGGCCGTGATGGTAGCATCCGTAATTTGGGGTCACCCTCAGTCCTCTCCCTACTGAGTCCATTCAGAGCTGCCTTTGCTTACCAACGGCGCCTTGCCGACTGCATCTCAGCTCCTATGTTGATCACAATGGCTGTGGCATGGCATTTGGGCCCCAGGTGCTCACAGGTCTAGGATGCGACTCAAGATGCCCATCAGTCATGGTCAGGAGCCCCCAGGGCTCCGCAGCTCATTCATGTGCCACCCTCTTCTTGTCTACCCGCTGACCTTGCTGTTGCAGGAGCAAGATCTCTTAGCACTTTGTGGAACCCTTGCTCATTACCTCAAGGTGGTTGTAGGTATGATAGAAAAGATTTCCGAGTTCACATCGTGGCTTCACCACTTCTATTCTGTGGGCTGCTAAGCAACATTCTGAACTTCCCTGAACCTCAGTCTTTTTGTCCATAAATGTGATTCTCTGGACTGTAAAGTTTATAAGGTGTTGTGAAGATTGCCTTGAGGCAAAACCCAGCACTTTATTGCATTAAAAACAAAAAGGAAAAAAGCAAAACTTGAAGCTTCTACTTCTAGCATTACCAACTTAAAATATTCTCGGGCTATAAAATGTAGGCATTAAATAAACTACAGACATTCTGCTAAGTGCATAGCTAAAGGTGAAAGAAGCAGGGAATCCTTAAGGACCCCCAAAAACAAGCAAATAAAGAGAGAAAGAGAAAGAGAGAGGGAAGAGAGAGAGAGAGAGAGACAGAGAGAAAGATAGGAGGGAGGGAGGGATAGAAAGAAAGTGAGGGAGAGGGAAGACAGAAGGAGGGAGGGAGAGAAAGAAAGTGAGAGGGAGGAGAGAGTAAAAGGAAGAGAGGAGGGAGGGAGAGAGAATGAAAGGAAGGAGAAAAGTAGGGAAGGAAGGAAAGAAGGAAAGAAAGGGAAGGAAAGGAAGGAAGAAAGGGAAGCAAAGAAGTAAGGAAAGGAGGGAGGATAGTAGGGAGGGAAGGAAGGAAGGAAGGAAGGAAGGAAGGAAGGAAGGAAGGAAGGAAGGAAGGAAGGAAGGAAGGAAAAGGCCAGGTCTTACTTACAAGGAGTGGGAGGTGAAGGGTGTCTGGGGAACTTCTGAGTGAGGGATACATCATTTAGGTCTTAGTTAGGGACCATATTGTCCCAGGGAATAAGAACCAAATCAGCCTCTGACAGGAGACCTGCTCCACCCAAGGCCCCTTGACACTTGGTGGGTCCTGGGTGAGATTGTGTGAGGCAGGGATCTGCACCCATCCTGTCTCCTCCTCCCTCTGACTGCCTTCTCCCTCTGGCCTCCTCCTCTTCACAGCCTTCCAGCTATACTGGAGGCAGAGTCTTGGTGGGGACTATGCTGGAGCCAGATTCAGCCTTGTCCTGGAGAAGAGGAATTCTGCTTCGGTGACCAAGTGTTGGGGAATAGAAGGACACTAAGCCGTAGCAAGCAGCCAGCTCTTATTTCTCCTTACTCCACCTCCAGGGGTTTCAACAAGCTGTAGAGAGAGCAGGCGCTGGGCTGGCCCATGTGTCTTTCCCAGCGTTTGGGAAATGGGGAGCTCTCCTTATCCAGAGGGGCAGGACATCCCAGCTCCTCAGCCACCTGATTCCTACATCTACCCCCTTTTTGCAGCTTACATCAGGCCACCTGGAGCTCAGTGAGCTGGCTCAGGGGTAGAGGTGGGCACGGGATGTGGGGACTGGTAAATAAAAGGGGCTGCTGGAGAGGGCTGGGATGGCTCTGGATCTGACGGCACTGGTTCCATTATAGTGAGGTCAGCCGGCGGCGATGGAGATGCCTTGTGCGTTACGGAAGAGGACCTGGTGGGTGATGACGAGGACATGCCGAGCTTCCCGTGCACCCAGAAGGGTAAGGACTCTGGGCTGCCCCTGATCTCCACTCCGGGCTGAGAGATCCCTGTCTCCATCCCCAAGCCAGTGAGAGACGTGTCTCTTTAGGTGGTTTCAAAAGCCTGGGTGTCCTTTCCGCACTGCTTCCTGGATGGTTAAAGGGCAGAGTTCATGGCCCTGGGCGTGCAGTACCAATGATGTCAAAGGAGTTTAGAATTTTTTTTCTTAAAGACATGGTTTTGCTGTGTCGCCCAGGCTGGTATGAGTGGTACAACCATAGATCACTGCAGCTTCAAATTCCTGGGCTCAAGTGTTCCTCCCATCTCAGCCTCCCAAATAGCTGTGACTATAGGCGCACGCCACCATGCCTGGATGAATTTTTTTATTTTTTGTAGATACAGCGGTCTTGCTATGTTGCCCAGACTGGTCTCAAACTCCTGGTCTCAAGTGATCCGCCTGTCTCAGCCTCCCAAATTGCTGGGTTTCCAGGTGTGAGCCACTGCGCTTGGCCTGAAATCAAAGCTTCGCACAAGTGCCACCTGTCTCCTGGGCTCTTCCTGAGACCCATCAGGGATGTCTGCCATCTCCCAGAGCTACATACTCTGTCCCTGGGGCCCATCTTCTAGCTAGCCCAGAGTTGTCTCCTTCATTGTGTCCCATGCTACCTGAACCGCTGTTTGGAGTGGGGCCCGTCAGTGCTTTGGTGCAGGTTAGAGCAGTTGTTCTCAACCTTAGCTCTTCATTACAGTCACCTGTGGATGCATGAGACCAACCCTTGGAAATTCCTATTTGTTTGGCCTGGAGTGGGATCTGGGCATCAGGATTTTTAAGCATCCTAGTACTCAGAATGTGTGGCTACAGTTGAATTCACCTTAGGAATTTGCAGCTGGGCCATCACTGCATTCCCACTGGGTGATGGCCGCCTGCCTGCATATTCAGGAACATCTGGCTCGCTCCTTCCTCCATACCAGTAACTCCACTGGTGGACTGTGACTATTTGTTTGGTTTCCAGTAGAACTTCTGGTTCCCTGAAAAGTTTGGGGACTGGTAACCAACATTCTGGTTTGCCAGAGACTGAGGGGATTCCCAGGGTTTGGGGCTTTCCATTTTCTTTTTTATTTTTTAAAATAGTGATGGGATCTTGCTATGTTGCCCAGGCTGGCCTCAAACTCCTGGGCTCAAGTGATCCCCCTGTCTCAGCCTCCTAAAGTGCTGGGATTACAGGCATGAGCCATTGCACCCTGAAGACTCAGTTTTAAAACCTAGACAATCTTAGCAAACCAGGATGATTTGCACCATGCTGAGGAGCTCCCGTGACAGGAGACTTTCAGTGCTAAAACCCAGAAGGTCCTGGGCAAGCCCAGACAAGTTGGTCACTCAGTGGGGTCTCAGGCTGGCTGCTCATCTTGTGGGTCATCAGTAGGACCAATGGAGAGGGAAGAGGTGTTGCCCCTCCCCATGGGCCAAATGAAGATGCCATAGAGAGAGGATGATGGTAGTGATGGGAGCTGTTCTTTGAAGTCCTGACTCCGTCTCCTGCATTCCAGAAAGCGCCAGCACCTAGAGAAAGGTGGTAGGACAGGTAGAGAATGAGGGTCGAGAACAGCTCCCCTTCTGAGCCTGGTTTAAATGTGATGAGACAGGCCAGAGCAGGAATATGGAACTGACCCTTCAGCTCCGGCCTGGGCCACTGGCCTAAGCCATTGTCTCCTTGTATGCCCTACAGGTCGGCCAGGGCCCCGCTGCAGCCGCTGCCAGAAGAACCTGTCTTTGCACACATCAGTGAGGATTCTTTACCTCTTCCTGGCCCTGCTCCTGGTGGCTGTGGCTGTGTTGGCCTCTCTGGGTGAGTCCAGGGCTTGCCCACCCCGGGCTGTAGTGGGGTGTCTGGTCAGGGATCCGGCACCAAAAGCTCCCCTGCAAAGACAAACACTTGATATCTGTATCCCAGGGCCCAGAGCCAGCATCTTCCTGGCTAGGGGATCTCTATGCCTAATCCAAACTGCAGACACTGGCAACTGATGAGCTCTGTGGCCTTGAGGAAGGCACCCGCCTCCGGGGACCCTTCCTGTCCCCTTGGTGTAATGAGATGATACAACCAGGTCAGTGCTTCTCAGTTTCAGCTCCATGTTACAGCCACCTTGGAGCTTTAAAGAATATCGATGTAGGCCAGGCGCGGTGGCTCACGCCTGTAATCCCAGCACTTTGGGAGGCCAAGACGGGTGAATCACGAGGTCAGGAGATCGAGACTATCCTGGCTAACACGGTGAAACCCCGTCTCTACTAAAAAATACAAAAAACTAGCCAGGCGAGGTGGCGGGCGCCTGTAGTCCCAGCTACTCGGGAGACTGAGGCAGGAGAATGGCGTAAACCCGGGAGGCAGAGCTTGCAGTGAGCTGAGATCCGGCCACTGCACTCCAGCCCGGGCGACAGAGCGAGACTCCGTCTCAAAAAAAAAAAAAAAGGAATATTGATGTCTGGGCCCCACCCCAGTCGTGGAATTAATTCAGTATCTTTCAACTCTCCCGATGGTTCCGTTGTTCACCCAGGATTGAGATCACTGGATTGAGTGACTTCTAAGCCCCCTTTCATGGTCTATGTGAGTGTTTCTCAAAGTGAGGCTGGATGCCTACCTGCAGCAATTTCACCTCCAGTATTTGTTAAAATGCAAATTCCTGGGTCTCCCTCAGCCAGACCTGCTGAGACCAAGGAATCTGGGGGGTCCTGCAGGTAAGACCCAGGGATCTGAGGTTTGATTCTTCTCATACACATTAGGGTTTGTAGTAGTTGACCTAGGTCACAGCACACAGCCAGAGGTAGGTCACTTCTGCCTTCCAGATGCTGACAGATTGTGGTAAACTGGTTACAACAAATTTGGTGTTTGTAATCCCATTTCACTAAGAGTGCTAG